GTATTCCGATGTGCGTGAACCATGGTCAGTGTATCTCGGTACAGTCGCAGATTCAAACGGTCAGCGAAATTGTCGACGATGTAGCGCGATTTATTGAAAGTCATCCAGTTAAGCCGATACGGACGGGAACAGACTGGGGGGGAGGGGAGGCCTCCTCTAACCTGCCGATTATTCGCGTCTCTTCTTTTCTCTCTCTTTTTTTATATCCTTTTTCTTTCTCTCTTTCTCTCTTTCTTTCTTTTTTTCTGTTCGATAGGATCGAATTCTCTGAACGGAAAAAAAAAAAAAAAAAGAAGAAAAAGAAAATTGGACGAGTTTAGAATGGCAAAACAATTCGAGTTTAACTTTCGAGGCGACATTTTCCATTTTTGCGCGGAAAGGAGCGTGTGGAGAGAGAGAGAATCGTAGAGAGAATCATTAGCGTGGTTATTTTCGCGGTCGTTATCGAAAGCGGAACGAGCGTGCGAGAGAATAAAAGAGATGCGTGAGATCGAAAGAGGAGACGCGTATTTTTCTCCATCGGTAGAAACTGTTTGAAAGTATTGTCCGGCGTCAGTCGGCTCAAGTGAATGACCCTATTTATCGGCGCATTATGCACTTTTATCGCGGTTGCCTCGTCCCAGTTATTTATCTCTTCTCTTCGCAGCTTACGGACGGAGAGAAGTACGACGGACCGAGATCGAGAAAATAAAGAAGAGAAAAAAAAAAAAAAAAAAAGAAAAAGAGAGAAGGAGAGAAGGGGAGAGGAAAGGAGGGCAAAAGTAAAAAAAAGAGGGGGGGAAAAAAAAGAAGAAGAAGAAGAAGAAGACGAGGAAAAAGAACGGAGAACGAGCATCACGTTCCCTTCCTGCTTGCTCGTCCGTTCTCGAAATCGTATAATAACAAACGCGTTACGCTCTCTCTCACCTGCAGCTCGTTGACGAGTTTTTCCGTGAGACTGGCATCGTGGGAGTCCTGGCTCGTCGCGCCCGGACTCAGCATCGAGTTTTGAGAATTTTGTTGCTGACTGGCCGTCATGTTCATCCCGGCGAGGGCACCGTTCTGAGCGATGCTGCCCGCCATGTTGAGCGCCTGTTGTTGCAGATTCTGCGTCAGGTTTTGCGCCTGTTGTTGCAGATTCTGGGTCAAATTTTGCGCCTGCTGTTGCAAATTTTGCGTGAGGTTTTGCGCCGCCTGTTGTTGCAGCGCCTGTTGGCTTAAACTCTGGCCGAGGTTCTGGGTCAAATTCTGAGCCTGTTGCTGCAACGTTTGCGACAAATTC